TCGATCACAATCCTCATTTGATTTTACTATATTGGCTTCTATACTTAGGCCAGTATTGCCTGATTTTTAATTAACATAATCCAATCCAATCCAGTATTAAACTGTTTTAATGCTGCCAAATGTATAAATGGTTATACATTTAAACCTGGACTTAGCTTTTTAGAGACTAATCAGGAGCAAGTGGTCTGTAATAGATGAGAGGCTAAGGATGTTGTCTAAAAAAGGGGGATGGTGTCTGTAATGACTTTAAGGTTCATTGTCATTGGGATGGTAGTTCATAGGAATGGTGACTGTGGATCGCATTGTTGTGGGAATGTATTGGAAAAAGCAGTGCCTAATAATCAGGGTAACAGCATATTTATTACAGGAGCAAGAGACGGAGTGGGATGGGGGTGGTTGAGGGAGCGGAGGCTCGTTTTGATTTGGGTTAGGAAATAACTAAGCATTGACAATGGTTAATTTTTATGAAAGTTTAGATTGAGTGATTAACCAGATGTATATATTTAAATTACATGGTTTAGTACAACAGGCAACAGCACTGCATTTAGTACACTTCATATAGTATTTGTATTTTATAGGACATTGCTTACTTGTCTGATTTGTAACAGTCATGTGGCCTGATTTATCAAGGCAGCATAGCTACTATTCTGGGCAAAGTCCTAACTGCTGAGAGACACTCTTGGTTTCCAAGGTGACTGCTCTTTATTTACCACTTTTCCCAAGAATAGCAAATACTTATGCCTTAACAGATATTCCTCTTTGTAGGCACACTCTTCATAGATAGAAAATTGTTTATATCATCCGTCTTAAAGACTGTGAAACACACGTGAGACATCACCTAGCAACGGGAACACCTGCTCAGTGACTACCCAGCACAAAAGGCCCTTAAGAATATATTTTTCATATGATATATATGTGAAATATCTTTCCTATTCTAGGTCTGATATTCAGTGTTGCGTGAAAGGACAAAACCTTAAAAACAATTAAACTTGAGCAACATTTTAGAAAAATAAAGGTACAGAATGACTTTGACATAAATGACTGCTATATGTCTTATAGACTTATGTCTTCATTCAGCCCAGAGAATGTCATGCCTGTGTCTAATTATACACATGACCCTCAACAGTTCAGAGGCACTTCAGGCCTGTAACTCACTTTACATCTATAGTGTCTCTTCTTTTATGGGTCACTAGATGAAAAAAAAGATTTATTGACTAAAAGTCATCAGTATCTAAACTGATGGAAATCATTGGTCTGCGTTCTAAGTTTGGAATTGACAAGGGAGCTGCAGATTGTATGCCCAAATAACAGAACTGGATCCATTCTCCAACACAGATGTGTTAACGGTTTGGCTACTATAGCCTATAATTTCGTTCAGAAAAAAAAATATCCCTGCTTAGTGAATAACTAGAAAAGTTGCATTTTCAATCATTCGAAATTAGAATATTCAGGTACTAAGCAAACTAAACCACTGAACCCATTTCTAAAATACAAACACGTTTTCATCCATTGAATAAATGTATTACATGGTATACAAAATGACCACAATAGTCTTCTAATTTCCTTCTGTTTCATAAAATTGCTGGCTTGTCTTTTGTTGCAGGACCTGACAAAGTTGCAGTTTCTATACCTATCGGACAACAAACTTGACTACATCCCTGTGCCTCTCCCTTTTAGTCTGCAGTCGCTTCACCTCCAGGTACCCAGAATCCTTTACTTGTCTGCTGTTTCTTATAATCAGTGAGTAAACTCCCAAGGGAAATATACAGGCAAATCCTCTTATTCTGTGTAGCCTAGTTATCCAGTGTATAGATTTTTTTTAGGCATTTTGATTAATAGCTTTCACAGAATAACATAGGATTTAAAGAGGGTTTTTTTCCCTCCCTGCTTGACAAATATACGCCTAGAGGCACATTGTGCTAAAACAGAGCGGAACTCAAATTAGTTATTTGCTCTCCAGAGGATTGGGCAAGTTCCCAATTTGCACTTGCAGACATGAACTGAACAAGAAATACGACTTTAAAATATGATGCACTTTTCCCCCTGATTTGCGTGTCTGTGATTTCCTCTGTTGTTAAGAAAGATTATTTTCATGGACAGTGCTACCAGCAATTCATACTATCACCAGATGCATATTGTACTACATGCTATTCTTAATGTAGGATTTGCAGGAGCTAAATAAAAAAAAAATTGCATTGCAATGAACAACTGGCCCAGGCCTTTTTTAAATTCTAATATATATATATATATATATATATATATATATATATATATATATATATATATATATATATAGACACACATAGATATATATAGAGAGAGAGAGAGAGAGAGAGAGAGAGAGAGACACACACATACCATACCATACATACATACTAGAATATGTATATTTTCATTTATTTTATTTTTTTTTAAATCACACTGTTTGAGCATTTTATTTTTCAATTCATATAATTCTGAATTGTCTCATAGAATTTAGCTGTTTTTGATTATAAATATGACCTGTAGGGTTGTAAACAGGGTTATTTACTAATGTGATAATTAAAAAGCAAATTCAAAGTAAAAGAGAATTGAAAATTTAAGGTCGAAGTAGCTGAACTGAAAGTATAAAATACCAGTTTGGGTATGTTAACCTTAAATTTGAAATTCACTTTGATTTCTCACTGTCATAACTACTCTCTGTAAAGAATTCTTTATACATCTCATTTTATATTTCATTGCAAAAATAAACCTCATATAGTTTTACCATACCCTTAAAGGACCACTATAGTGCCAGGAAAACAAACTTGTTTTCTTGACACTATAGGGTCTTTAGGACACCCCACCCTCACGGCCCCCCTCCCGCCGGGCTGAAGGAGTTAAACACTTACCTTTCTCCAGCGCCAAGGAAATCGGTGCATCCACCTTAGGTAGTGTAGTCCAGGGGGTGGAAGTACCTTCCTTCACAGGGTAAAGTTTGGCCTCTTTTCCTTACCCCTAAGGCCTCCGAAATACCTTGACACTTCCTTTGTAAGCTATGTCAACATGTCCTGTGGCTGAGCAGGTATAGGTTATGCTGAAGAGGTTACCTTCTGAAGACAGTTAATGCATAACGGTTTTCCCTTCCACTGCATTCCCATCAGAACGTGGTGTAGATTCAGGAATCAAATAAACAAAAAATAAATACTACCAGTGGCAAAAAAGCATTACAGCATAATGCACAGCTGCCTAAGGCAAAGGAAAGGTTTTTTTACTGTAAGAACAATCAGGATGTGGAATTCTCTGCCTGAGGAAGTGGTTTTATCAGAGTCCATACAGATGTTCAAACGGCTACTAGATGCATACTTGCAAGAACAGAATATTCAAGGATATAATCTTTCAATGTAGGGTAATAACTGCTTGATCCATGGATAAATCTGACTGCCATTCTGGGGTCAAGAAGGAATTTTTTTCCTAGCTTGTTGCAAAATTGTGCTTCAAACTGAGTTTTTTGCCTTCTTTTGGATCAACAGCAAAAAACAAATGTGAGGAAGGCTGAACTTGATGGACGCAAGTCTCTTTTCAGCTATGTAACTATGTAACTATGTAACTATGTAACTATGTAACTATAATGCACCACAGATTAAAGGAATCACAGTGTAAAAGTAGCATAGTATAAAAACACTGCAGTATAAAGGCACCCTAATGTAAAAGGCACCATAATACAAAGGCACCACAGAATAAAGGCACCCTAAAATAGAAAAAACAAATAAAGTAATGAAGAGAAAAAACATACATGTCCATAAGTAAAGGGAGCAAAATGCTCATATCCTAAGGGCTGTAGGACAGGAAAAAGACAGAGGACCTTAGAAATGGAGCCTCCTTTTAAAGTCGTTGGTGTTTTTCCTGTCCTATCGGCTGTAAGGGGCGGGGCTAACCCATGATGTATATGCTGCCATGATTAGAGCTATTGATTAGATTCAGATGATTAGATCTAAGTATATATTATTTAATTTTACACTGTTTTAACTTTATTTAAATTTATCTCAGGCAGCAGGGGGACTATCTGTCATTCCAGGCACTCCCCCTGCTGGCACTGCTATGGACGGCTATTCCGTCCATGTGATCGTGAGGTCCTCGCAAGGACCTCGCAATCACACGGCCCAGGAGGGCCAGATCAGCAGCTGTGGGACTCCCTGGGATGCAAGGTAAGTCCCCCCATTGTGATCGCCAGCGTGGGATCGTCGGCGAGCAGGTAAGTCCCCTGGACAGCGTGAAAGTCATATGCCGCCCGCCGGCATTTAGAGGCGGGTCCCCAAGGAACGCATAGCATGCCCGTCGTCCTTAAAGGGTTAAAGGAACACTCAAAGAGCCATAACCACTACAGCTCCTTCTTAAATGGCTTGAATCATTACACTGGGAGGGTGCCAGGGCACTCTTGGAACCAAATACACTACAACACACTGTAATGTTATATTGCTTGGAGTGTTCCTATAACCACTTTTAAATAATCAACATGTTTTCATGAACTTTCTTTTTGCAATAACTGTATATATATTAATACTTATTTATTATTATCATTAATAAACCATATGCTTTTGGATACTTTCAGAATAACAAAATCCAGACAATGCACAAGGATACATTTTGTGACAGCCAGGACCGTACATTCATCAGACGAGCCCTGGAAGACATTCGACTGGATGGGAACCCCATTAACCTGAGCAGATTTGGAGAGGGCTATTTTTGCATCCCTCGTCTTCCCACTGGCACCTTCCACTGAGCAGTGCAATTCTATCTAGAACAAAATATAGCAGTAATTTTTAATAATTATAGGGAGTGCATCGTATGCACAAACCAGGTCAAAGAAGTAAAATTCATAAAGCAAATTTACGTCACATGTCTGTATGCTTGCTGTCAAAAAATGTTCAGCGTGCCCTAAAATAAAGGCTTAAAAAAATATTCTGTGTAAATTCTTGAATGTTTCCTGTTTCATATATATATATATATATATATATATATATATATATATATATGACATCAACTGGTTCTGGTGGCATTATGCATATAGTAAATGGATACACACATGTATTTATAATCAAATAAGGTATTATATTCTATATCTTGTTGGCAGTCAATATGTCATTCTCTAATTGCTGTAGACCAAATGCCATCTATCCCATTTATATATGAGGACTGGCTGATTACCCCATATTTGCAAGGTTACTGGTAAATCTAATTTACGTCCTAATAGCTTTATCTCTACAACTGGTTACGCTATGGATCTCATGATATTCTGAATACAAAAATAGATCAGTCATTACAATATTCAATATTTTATATTGTTCACTATTACCCACACCTATGGCACTATGGATACAATAATAATTGTCATGCCAAAGCATGAGTTGGCATTTGATATATGTTATGAGTTGTTTTCGTACATGTTGGGATAACATTTATTGTAGGCTTTGATCAAACGCCAGGCCTAAGCCATGAAATGTAACGACTAGATAACCATCACCAGAGCTGGACATAGGGTGTCATAAAACGTATTGGTGCATATGCTATGACTTTGGTTTATTCAAAGAACATAATTTAAGAAAATATGGAGTGGACAATAAACTGCCAGGCCAAACCCCTCTGATCCACCCAGGGGTCTGGTCACTCAGAAACAGCTAGTTTGAGCTACATAATGAGCATATTGGATTATCCAGTGAGAGATTTTCTTTTTTCAACAACTACTTGGAGACCTGTAACAGTTGAATCTCCCACAAGAATTATATATAAGGGGTAAATATATGTAAGGATTTCTTGTGTTTCCTCCAATTTTTATTTATGGACTGTTTTGCAATTTGTTATCTATGTTTCTGTATGTCATTTATTTGTGTATTTTTGTACACAGTACTGTGAATCCTTCTTGTCAGATTAAATGTTTAGTTAATCAGCCAATAGCCCATGTTCATGACAATAATAAAATAAATTTATATGACACCTAGAGGTCTGATAATTATAAAATATGCCTTGTGCAAAGGTTACTATATTGTATAGTTAGCAAGCTTCTTAGTCAATCATATACAATGAAAAGGATAGCTCACATTAAAAGGGAACTGTCACTTCTCTAGAATTTAGATATACACACAAACAAAATCACAGACCCACACACCTACAATCACAGACCCACCCACACATAAAATCACAGATATATACACACACACATTAGTTCCATACACACAATCACAGACACACTCACCTACACACACAATCACTGACTTACACAAACACACACAATCACATACACACAGACGAATATTTGCTTTACCTTGCACTCACCTCCATGGCGGCCGCCTCTGACAACCCAATCAACTCTGTCCACTGAGCAATGGATCCTTTTATTGCTCCATTTTTTTTGCTCTATCTTCTCCTTCCCTGTTTCTGACCAGAAATTGAATATTATTCCTGGATGAAATCCAATTGGGATGCAGAAGAACTGGAGGTAATGTCTGCGCACCAGGTGGATAGGAACAGCGAGGTCCTTCAAATTCAGTCCAGAGAACCAGTCGCCCTCTCCAAGTAAGCAGATGAATACCTTCCATCATGAAGAAACAATATGCCACAAAGGTTAAATTGATGACCAGGCAAAAGTCTCAGGTCTTCTTTTGGACCAAGAAAACTTCTTAGTCCCTGTGCATTTGAGTGGCACATTTTCTTGCAGTGCCAGAAGTTCCTCGTGTATCAGACACTGGTCCTGACCCAGATGTGAAAATTGGGGTTGGAAAATACTCTTGTACTGATGGTTCCATGAAGTCTATGATGAACCCGTTACGGTTTGGAGGATCCGCGCGACCGAGGTTATACTCTGCCAAGGTGACAAAACATTGCAGAGGCGATATGTAGAGAGGAAAAAGGATGATGACTTACCTGTGTTAGATCTACCCCTGAAGGAGAGTGTTAGCGTACCTCCCACAGGAGGGGTACCGTCCTCTGTCTCCTTCCCCTCCTCTCAGCAGTTTTGACGCCGGCTGCTGTGACTCCATCCCTTTTTATGACGTGGCGCGCACATGCTGGCATGACGTCGATGGCCTGCCGGAACATTCAAAATCGGAAATTTTGGTGGTGTAGCTATCAATTAAAGAACCACATTATAAAAAGGGATCACTTAATTATTGCCCTGTTGTGGTTCAAGCTTTATTGTTCACTATAGTGAGTATTCTGGTTTCATATTTTGGTAATTGATTTGGCTCCGGTTTGACTACTCTGTGTTTTCTTTCCCTTCGGCTTGTTTTATTCACTAAACTGTTTTTTAGCTTCCTTGACCTCGGCTCGTCCCTGACTATTCTTTGTCCTTACTAACGTTAGTCCGGCCATTCTAAGGCCCGGTATATGTTTCCTATTTTGCACTCTGCATATTTGATTGCTGTGTTGTTCCTGACAGGGAGTAAGCCTCGTTCACGGGAGAAACCCCTCAGAAAGAACTGTCATTGAGGAAATCTCTGGGAGTTGTACTGGGATGAGCCTTGGAAACGAGGCCTAGAGCCTGAGAAGGTGGCACGGAAAAGTTGGGGGTACTTTATCCAAAGAGACTTGGGCTTTATTGACAACATGTAAACTGCCACATGTTGATTAAGTTCCTTGGTGAACTTATGAAACAACAACAATATCCCGCAGACTGAAGGAATTCCACAATAGAACCTTGGACGGACAGGGGTCTCGGATTAACCTTGGATCAAAGAAGGTTCAGGAGTCCAGTAATTCCCCAATAGGTCCCATGGCGGAAGATGGATTGGACTTCAGAGCTCCAGATGGAGGGGGATATATATATATGACATCAACTGGTTCTGGTGGCATTATGCATATACACTATGATCTCTCGGATCTCTCACTATGATCTCACCTTACTCCGTCATCAGGTGTGGGAGAACACAGTCTTCGTATGGGTTCCCAGCTTAGTAAGATATCAGATTTGGAAGCATCCTTCTCTCCAGGAGGCTGCAAGAGACCAGCAGAAACTTCTGTGATGGAAGGAGGGGTCGAGTGTGGTAGCATTGCTGTGGTTTTCCCCTTACCGTCATCGGAACTCCTGCCTTTGAATGGGCGCTTGCGTGCAGAGAAGACTGATGGGGAGTGATGGGAACCCTGGAGTCAGAATTACCGTGGTCGCAGTGAGGTGCCATTAAGGGTTTAGAGCAGGAATCTGCAAGGACTGACTAATGCTATTGCTTGAAGCTCTCAGGGATGACAGAATCGTCCTCAGCCATGACAGTGGTGAGTTGAAGTGTAAAAAACACTTTTTAGGACCACAGGTGCCTGCACACGGAAGGGATTAAACAAACAAACAGCTCACCTAAACTGTATGCCCTGGGTTCACCCCATAGAAGAGCATAGCCATAGCCAAATAGCCACAATAATGGAAAAAGGGTGGGTCACACCCAATCCAACCCCCAAATAGGTGGGTCACATGTACTGGTTACCACAATAAGTCCCAGTAGCTCTGAAAGACCAAAGAGTGGCAGAGGGGTGAATTACCTACAATCTACCTTATTAGGTAGCAATGTATGGCGAGGGTATGCAGACCCCACTGGTACTGAGCTGGCATTGAGAGAGGTGTGTCACACTCTGCGGCACCACATGCAATAAGATGCAAAGAATACATGTAATAATGTGACCAATACATGTGACAACTGTTCATGGGAGGAGTCCCAAATGTCTAAAATGAATGTGCATAAATAACAGTAGTCAAAGATCAACAAAATAGTAAAATGGGGTTCACCAATATGGCACCTATCATACATGCATAAAATCATTACATGCACAGTTGTGCTCAAAAGTTTGCCTACCCTTGGAGAATTGGTAATATATGTATCAGTTATAAAGAAAACATGAGTGAGCAAGCAAAAAACATTTATTTTATGTCTTATGGGAATCATATTCAACTGTAGGTTATAACAGAATGGCACAATCATAAAACAAAACATGGCAACAAAGAAAACAATGAAACGACCCCCGTTCAAAAGTCTGCATTCTCTTAGTTCTTAATACTGTGTATTGCATCCTTTAGCATCAATGATAGCATGCAGTCTTTTGTAATTGTTGTCTATGAGGCCCCTAATCCTTGCAGGTGATATAGCTGCCCATTCATCCACACTCTGGGCGGATCCTGTGTTTGGCACTCTCCCCCCACCCTTGGTTTTTATTGTTTTCTACAAAACCCTGCCTGGTCCCCCTTCTACAAAACACCTGCCCAGCCCCCTTTCTACAAACCCCGCCCCCGTACAAAACCCCTGCCTCTCCTCCTCTACAAAACCCCCTGACCCGTCCCCCTTCTACAAACCCCCTTTCTACAAAAATCCTGCACCCCCTCCTCTACAAAAGCTCCTGCCCAGACCCTTTTCTACAAACCCCCCCTTCTACAAAGCCTCTGCCCAGTCCACCTTTTACAAATCCCCTGCAAACCTGTTTAAAACAAAAACCTGCACCCCTCTACAAGAAAACCCTGCACCCCTCTACAAAAAAACCCTGCACCCCTCTACAAACCTCCTTCACCCCCCATTCATAAAAAAAAATCCCTGCCCCCTCTCCAAGACCCCTGCACTCATCATTCACAAAAAACCCTTTCCCCTCTCTACAAAAAACCTGCTCACCCTCTCTACAAGACCCCTGTACCCCATTCACTTAAAACCCTGCCCCCCTTACAGACCCCTGTGCACCCACCTCTACAAGCCCCCTGTCCCTATACAAAAAAACAATATTAGCAATCGCTTACCCTGCTCCTCTGCCTGCTAGCTGCTCCTTGCTGATCCCGACTCCATGGTCTCCCGCCGTGGCGCCGCCCACACAGAGTGTCAGAGCCCTTCAGCTCAGAACACCGTGAGGGCAGAGCACATTGACAGCGTGGCATTGCACGCCTCCAGATTCCTCTTTCTGCTGCCCACCCGCGGCTCTCACTGTGAGGGTAGGTGAGGTAGCTACGTAATGAGTAGCATCCGGGGCATACGGCCGCTCATTCCCCCTATTAGTATGCCACCGCCCCAGAGTGGCTCGATGACATCAAGGTCAGGAGACTGTGATGGTCACTCCAGAACCTTCACCTTTTTCTGCTGTAACCACTGGAGGGTCAACTTGGTCTTGTGCTTAGGGTCATTGTCATGCTGGAAAGTCTAAGGGTATCCCATGCGCAGCCTTCATGTAGAAGAATGCAAATTGTCTGCCAGTATTTTCTGATAACATGCTGCATTCATCTTGCCATCAATTTGCACAAGATTCCCCATGCCTTTAGAGCTCACACCGCCGAAAACATCAGTGAGCCAATACTATGCTTCAGTGGGGATGGTATTCTTTTCACTATAGGCCTTGTTGACCCCTCTCTAAACATAGCGCTTTTGGTTCTGACCATAAAGCTCTATTTTGATCTTGTCACACTAAATTACAGAAGCTGTGAGGTATGTCAAGGTCTTGTCAGGTATATTGTAACTGGGCTTTTTTGTGGCATTGACACAGTAAAAGCTTCTGTCTGGTAACCCGACCATCCAGCTCATATTTGTTCAAGGATCATCGTATTGTACTCCTTAAAACTACCACACCATCTTTTTCCAGAGCAGCCTGTATTTCTCCTGAGGTTGTCTGTGGGTTTTTCTTTGTATCCCTTCTGGCAGTTGTGGCTGAAATCTTTCTTGGTCTACCTGTATCAAGAGATCCCTGAATTTTCCACTTCTTAAAGGGACACTCCAGGCACCTAGACCACCTCTGCCCATTGGAGTGGTCTGGGTGCCAACTCCCACTACTCTTAACCCTGCAAGTGTAATTATTGCAGTTTTTTATAAACTGCAATAATTACCTTGCAGGGTTAACTCCACCTCTTGTGGCTCTCTACTAGACAGCCACTAGAGGGCACTTCCTGGTTCCTAGCACAGGAAACCTGTGCTAGAGCGTTGCTGGACGTCCTCACGCTGTGTGAGGATCTCCAGCGT